GCTAAAGAAAATAATGGCTTTAAAGAAGATCTTATTGAAAGTCTTAAAGTCCCAATTAGCTTGATCTATAATATGTTTGGCCGTCAGTCTCTTAAAAATAAGTCATTCGAAATATTTAACGCAGCTTCAGAAATAGATATAAAGAAATTCTAGGAAACGATTCTGCTTTTGGATAATAATATTCTTTATGAAAATTTTACTGCAGCAGATATAAAGCAAAAAATAAGTATTGATTAAATCATTTGCATTTAAAAAAAAAATAAATAAATAAAATAACAAAGTAACAAAAATCATTTTTTATTTAAAGCCATGTCTACAAGATTTTTTTGACTATTGTTGCATCTTAAGACATTACTTTTTTTTAATTAAAAAATGTGGTGAATCGTCCTATACTATATGTTGGCCTCCTCGTTGTTCTCTAGAAGACTTCGAGCAGCTGCACTGTCTATCAGATCCAATACCTGGAGATGATTTGCATTACAAGTCATTTGAAGAGATATATAGTACCTGAACAACAGAAAACCATAGACCTTTATTGGTAAAATCTGAAACAAAAACAAAGACAAGTAAAGCAAAAACCAAATATACTATACCATTTAGTCCTTCTGCTACATGTGCAAAGAATGTTAGTATTACTGTGAATTGCGTTGAATATGATAAGCCTCATCTTCTCTTCAGTGCAAAGAAGCTTTCCAAAAAAAATAAGGCTTTATTGAACCGATTTTTAGATACAATATTTTATACCTGTGGTATGTTATTTTATAACACATGTGATCTGGTGATGACTATGTTACCAAAGGAGCCAGAAGTTGATGACAATACAGAAAAAACTGTTAGTTCTAATGAAGAAGCTAATGAAGAAAACATGAATAGGGAGGATGAACCTGATCAATATGAATCTGAAAGCACAGAATAAGAAAAGCTGGATGAAAATGTAGATGAGTCCGGTGAAAATGAAAAAGAATCTGATGAAAATCTAGAATTTGATACTCATGGGGAGGATTCTATTAATGAACTTTTTTCTAGAGTCCTCATTAATGACTCTTTGTCTTGCTCTGCAACAATCGAAAAGCCATACTATTCAGCTGGGATCTACCCAGCTGTTTGCATCGAATGTGGATGCCGAGATGTTAATAGACCAGCGAAAGATGAATACCCATGTTGTAGTGATTGTGGTGGTAACTCTATAAACCCAAGAAAATCCTCAATGAAAGCTAAGGTTAATAAAAATAAACGCAAGCGTGCAAACACAAATGAAATCTAACTTTCTTAAAGTTGATTTTGTCATAGTAAATCCTATTTCTACTTGCGAAAATTTCCAGTTTTCTATTTTCTCTCCTATTGTAATATGTTCAATATAACAAATAAAGATATTAGTTATTTTAGTTTGTCTAAACCAATCACGCTATAGTTCTTTTTACTTCTTTGTAACATACCTTCCTTAATTGATCTAGTATTTAATTCTGGTTTTGTTTGTTTATGGTAAAGTAAGGTATTCATTGCTAAGATGAAATCAATGTTCTATATTGCAGCATATACGTATGTTCATATCTGGTATCAGACATATACTCATAGGAGACATTCGTTTGGCTGGTGTAAATCAATTGCCCAGAGAACTATTCTAAACGAATATAACTTACATGTTAAACTTAGATTAGTGAGCGTAACTTTGGATTAAGTATTAGGTTGATAATATGTATTAATAAATATGGGCTAAAGGTCATAATAAAGGTCGTAAAATATAAAGAATAGCTTTGTTAATAATTCTGTAATATTTGAATTTGATTTACGTAAATTAGCCAATTAGATGAACATTACCTATTACTTTATCACATGATTATCGAATGGAGAATTTTTATTAGTTGACTATATAAAAAAAAAAAATTTACGATCCCCACTTTGTCAATACGGGCGGGATATGAAAACTAACTATATAAATTTATATAGCCTAAGGTTGGGTTAGCATTCATATTAGAATTAGATTAGAGTATAACTATTAGTAAAATCATCCAAAAAAAACTTTTTGTTAGAATACTAAAAGTGGTTTTCTATATAGATTTTTGAGTTATAAGCAATTTTTGGCAAAATAAACGTTTGTTTTGAATTTTTTTGATCATATTATATTATATGTATTCTTGAAATCTGATTGGCTTAGTGATATATAAGCCACAATCATATATGTGACAAATAACTTTACTCTTTTAATAAATGTAAAATCTAATTAGCTAGCAGATAAGTAAGTTTGAACAATTTATTAGTAAACCCTAATTAGCTGATTTCTAGAAGCTCTTTTACCAAAAAAATATACAATCTATATTTATTAAGTATCAACTTTTCTGAAAGTTTTAAAGTTCTAGAACCTTATAGTGAGAAGATAAAAGTGCAGGATTATTTTTGTTTAGCACTATAATTTTAAAGCTTTAAAAAAATCTAGCTTTAATATAAATTCTAAAAATTTGCTTATATGATAAATAATAAATAATAAATATAAAGAATAATACTAGAAATCAGATAATGTTGTGAATCATATGATCACATAATAATTTTTAATATAAACAAATCCAAGTACATCTATCATTTGATATATATTTGATATTATAAAAAAGTTAGTATTAGGGTTTGGTTATTTTTTTTGATATAATATATACTACACCTAATCCCACTAAAATAACTAAAAGATATTTACGTTAAAATATACTTAAATTCTAACTTTAATACTAATAGCAAAACTTTTTAAATTAGTAATGCTAAATTTCTAGAGTTCTATAATAAATATATATCAAATAACAGATGTACTTGGATTTGTTTATATGAAAAATTATTATGTGATTACATGATTTCTAGCATCATCTAATTTTTAGCATCATTTTCTATAATAAATAAATAAATTAATTATTATACAATAATAAATAAGGTCCCAAACAAAGAAAATTGATAAGTTTTAATAATAATAGTGGATTGCTAGGTTTGTTTTTCATAGTAATAAACAAAATGGTTACTATTATAATATTTTAATAGTATAGTGTGACAATTTAGTAAAGTGGTGAAGTTGTTGTACCTTCAAGTAGTTGAGTACAAGTTTAATTCTCACTGAAGACGAAAATTGAATTAGGAAAAACAGATTTGGTAACTATCTTTGTAGCTGAGAAAACTCGAGACTCTGTAACTGTAGATGTATCAATTTATCAGAACTGGAAGATCCTGGGCCTTTATATAATAAAGAAGTTATATAAATATATACAAGTATTACAGAAAGCTATAGAGCTAATATGGTGATAAGGTGCTTGCTTAGCAAGACCCAAATAGAGAGGTAGCATAGATTTTTGATGATACTATATAAAAGATCATTATTGATAAAATGGCAAAAACTAAACAGTACCAAAGTGTTTGCAAAGCACTCTACCAACCAGGCTGTCAGAGAGTAACCAGAGAAAAAAAACTCAATTGTGGAGACTAGAAGCAGATTACAGCCTTTCTGAGCTATCTGAATTAGTAGTTTGGGATTGCTGCAAGTAACAGATGATAGTCTGTAAAATGTGTACTAGGGTTTGGGTAAACTCTATAAAAGCAGAAGTAGGTTGTATAGTAGTGATTAGGCTATAGTTAGTTAAAACATTATGAAAAACTAGTAAAAACAAAATAGTTGAAAAACACTTCCACTATAGCAACTGGTAAGCCTTGGCCTGTACGTATTAACTAAAGTCTAGATTAGCCAGATTGTAGATATAGAAAACTCTAGCAAACAACGCTTCGAAGATAAATTAGTTTTAAGAGTACAGCATGCATCCGGGCTTTCTTAATTAACAATTGTATCGAAGATAACCCAGTGATACAGGTAGAAGTATATTACAGAAGATTTAAATAGATAATATCTATAGTTGTGTTACAAATATAGTATCTAGTATAGAATCTAGAAATAGACAAACTACTTAAATAGATACTAAAAATATACGTGTAGCTAATATATATTCATCTAATATAAAAGTTTTTTAAAGAACCCCTTGTTCTGTATTCCTAAATAAAAAATTTCAGCTTCGAAGAGGCTAGTTATTAAAAAAAAAATAATAATAATATTCTAATAGTATTTGTTCTTTTAATATTAAAAGCTTGTAAGTTCTGTTATTTGATTTAGTTTTAATAATATAAGGTTTTATTCATTTCTTTTCGAATTTTGCAAATCAGAAAACTTAAATATTTTTTTGTTGCATTTATACTTTATCTTTAATTTTAAATTCTTTTGGCTATATTTTAGCATCAAATTTTACTTTTGTTTTTTTTAAAATTTGTTAGTATTTTTGTAAGCTTGACTATATTAATAGAGTAACTTATTTATTATAATAGATTATTATAAAATTAGATTATAGTGAAATTTAGGATTTTAATTTAAAAATATAAACTTTACCAAAATTTATCTATATTTTTTTATTAATAATTCTAATTCTAAATCCTAACTTAACTATAAAAAAAATTTACAAAAAAGATTCTAAAAAATTTTAAAAATTGTATATAAAATAGATTCAAATTTTATGATAATCTAATTTCATAATAATCTGTAATATTTATTAATTTAAATACTTAGGGCTGTGACATATATTACATAATATCATTTTATCAGGGGTACCCTCCTCCCCCATATCATATATGATCATATATAAAATATCTATATATAATATTATCTTCAGCTACTCTTTTAGGATATTACGTAATATCTATCACTGCTCTTATTATAAAATATTATTTTATAAAGATATTTCTTAATTTGTTTTTTGTAATTCTATTAAAAAAGTTTTAATAGATAGTATAGCTTGTTGTTTATATATTAATTAAAAAGATATATATCCTATAATTATATGTTATTTAGTCCTATATACAATTAAGATAGCAGATATATATATTCTAATCTTCATATATTTTTTACTTTGCAAGCAAATTGCAAAGTATTTAATTTAAATATTTAATTATACTATTGGCTTGAGAATAATATAGAAAGAAAAATAAATATTTTATCAAAAATTTGGTATAAATTTATAAATAAAATTTAATTAGCATTGTAAATCTTTTAAAAAATAGCTTTTTATTAAGTTTAATACAGTATATCGTAGATTATACTGATTAAATTAAAATATTTAAGAATATCTCTTATTAAACTTCTAAATTATCTTATTAATTATCAAATTACTTTGATATATTATTAAGTTAAAAGTGTAGTTTCTAAATCTTTATGCTATAATTTTTCTAAATTCGGATTTGTAGCTTCGAATTCACTTTTATATAACAAATCATTACTTTAATAAAATTTTATTATGATAAGATGATCTTTACAAATCAACCAATTATAATAAAACTCACTATACTAGGCAGAAGTATTAATTTAAAAATTGTGTCTTCTAAAAATAATATAAGTAGTTTTAAAATATGGAAATACTTTCGTAGCGCTATAGTGCCATGGCACTATGTATACCAAATATACTATATTATACAGAAAATTATTTAATTAAGACTGTAATACTGTACTGATAGTCTTTTTTACTGATATATTAGTGATCTGTGCATAATAGCCATCGCATAATAATCAGAGCAAATAAATAGGGGTTCGATTGTAAATGTGATCAATTTTCCTTCTTTTGAGAACAAACAAACATCAATTAAAACTTTATCGATTTATTTCGTGAGCTACGAGACTGTGCATGTGAAAGTGAAACAACGCTTGTTTGTATACAAAT